GTCCCACATATGTGAAAACACAAGTAATACAGACATAATAGTAATATCAAGAGCTTGATGTTGCCTTGTTCCTTTACCACAAGACTGTACTGTTTCAAGGAACTCAAAAGATTCCTAAAGATGTTTCCAATGGGGATCTTGTTGAGTCAGAGATTATCAGGTTTACAGAGACATTCTCCCTCTGGTTGAAGGTTATTTAGAAAGCAATGGTAACACCCAACACATTCTCAAGAGACGGCCATCAGGAGTCCCTTAGGCTTGCTCTTACCTTAGCTCTGCCCTCTCTGCAGAGCTCCCCCTGCAAGGGACCTGCAAAGTAGCTTTTGGACAAGGGCTGTGTGCAAGCAAGGTGCATCTGGGAATCATTCCCATACATGGCAAAATTTGAGAATTAACAGGTATATTTTCCTTTTCTCTATAATCAAAAAGGAATGAGGAGCAAAGGGTCCTAATGGACGTGGCATCCACTGCCAGAAAAGCACAAAGATCTTAAGTGTGACGATATACTAGTTTTTCTAGATAAGCAATATCAGGCACTGAGGAGCTAAGTACAGACTAAGTAGGGCCACAGATCTTGGGAATGTATTAGAAGATGTCCCTGAGTGTGCATGCATGTATGCATGTGCACACACCCATAGACAAAAATAAAATTCTTTATGATGAAGTAACAAATCAAAAATATATCATTAGAAGGAAGCCTTCTCCTTTAGTGACCCCTTTCAGCAATAAATGAAGCTGCAAATCCTGTAGCTTACTGTATTTTACCTTGTAAATCTTAGATATTTTGGGGCATTTTAGTTTTAAAGAAAGTTGGATTTAATAGCACACTCTTATTTTTTTTCCCCAGCCCTTTGAAATAATTTTCTCCTTGACCGTTCCCTTCAAAATTCACACAAGTGACTTTGCAGACAGACATTCAGCACCCTCCTCTGGAGACTGACTGAATTTCTACTCTGCTGTTCCCTTCTGTTAAGTGATGGTATTCATTCACAGTAATTCAATGGCTATTTGTAAGACCACAGAGCATTAAAAGAGCTAAGTTGATAAAGAGCTTTCCCTGAAGAAGTGAGAAAAAAAAAAGAAAAAAAAAAGGATTCCAACAAAACACAGAGGCTGCATATGCAAAAATGCACATAAACATTTTTTTAAAAAGATTTATTAAATAAACAAGAGATGTCAAGTAAATACATTTTCCATACACAATAAAAAGACAGGGTTGCAGTAAAACACTTACTTTGAAAGAAACTGCACCATAGCCCAAACTCCACCATACATCAGCCCTTTAATGAGCCAAGAATCAATGTCTAGGTCTGCTATAAACCCAACCAGCCAAATAACCAGGAAAGGGGTTCCCAGCATCACCTTCTGACGAAATTCCTGTATAGAAACAAATACCAATAAGTACTCTTATTTTTAGAAACAGACTATATAATACCGTTCAGTAATAAAAAGGACTAGTGATTAAGTATTGCTTTTTTTTTAAGCAAACTTCATACAAGATAAGGATTGAGGAGTTTCTTTGGCAGGGTAGGAGGGTCATTTCCTATGTTTTCCCTCCATACCCCCAAATCATCCTAAAACTGTAAAACAAATTAGGTGTCTGGTCCCTCTCTTCAACCCCAAAACCACAAAGAACTGTCTGGGGGACTTTGCTGCTGATGCAGAACAAAAGCAACATTAGTTCTGTAAAAACCCAAAGTGAATGAGCTACTGCATAGTTCACAGTAGATTTTGGGTAGTGAATATTAGATTGAAGTTACATAAATAATAGATAAATTCATATTGAAAATTCAAGAGAGACAGGACCATTTTAAGCTCTCACAACGTAGGTACGATTCTCAATTAGGGCACTGAACTCCTGGATATTTGAATTACCATCACAAAACACATGTATGCGTAATGCAGTGCAACAAGTCACAAGGATCAACTCTATTGAATGACCATAGGGTTAAAGCAGAGGCTGTAACCAGTGCTTTAATTATCAACCTACAAGGCATCTCTAAAGAAATCACAACAAATGAGCGATGCAACATTTAAATACCTAGTGCGATACTTTCACTTTTAAGTAAACATTAATTGTATAGAGATCCTTCAACTCTATGCAGGGAGACAGGCCTTCATGACAGAGCAGTACTGTCACCCTTTTAGCTCTCATTTCTTGTCTCCTCAGTCACTTTCAGTACAATCACATCAAGTCTCCAGATAGCAGGTTTTAACTTAGTAGCACGAGCATTTCAGTTCTGCTCATGTGCACGCCCTCACCTCCAAGAGAGTCTCAAAAAACAAACAAACAAAACACAGAACCAAAGCAAGAAACTACTAACACCCCGGAACACAAGAATCACAAGACTTCAAACTGAGTTTTATTTGAAATTGATTATTCTGCATGCATACAGGTTTTTGCTGATTAGGTTATTTTGAAAGCTGACAGGGAAATTAAGTAAATTCCAGTTAGTGAGATCAAAAACTATTTGTAGTATTAAAGAACAACTTAAGAAATATGAACTTCGCGTCATTTTATATTACATTATACCAGGAAAACTGACTTTTGTCATTCAGCAAAAAAACACTGAGTAATTAGGGAGACCAGGATATCTAAAGCATTTGTTTCCTCAGATACTTGAAAATCCTCTTTGTGACAGCCTCGACTATTCCCAACAGCACCACTGCTTGATATTTCCTAATGTTTAGTCAGTGCAAAAGCTAAAAAAAACTGTGTGAAGGCTTTCCCTCCTCCCTTGACTTAAATAAGGTTGTTTATGCAATTAACTGTCACAAAAAAAGATGACGATGTTTCCTAAACTTAAGGTGTCCTGAAGCTTCAGTATTAAAAAACCTTATCCCAGCCAAGAGAAACACAAAGGCCACACACAGCACAGTACATGGAGCAGTAGAAATTAGGATTTTGTGTTATAGTCCTTCTCACCTTATCGGCTTTCAGCTTTCGGAGAAAGGATGGACTGTCGTATCCCTTTGCCTGTCTTGCTTCCTGTAAGTGGTTGATCATCCAAACATTTTTCCTCTGTTTTGCTAGATCAAGTGGTGATTCTCCCTGCCAAAGGAATAAAAATGAGAAACATCTAATTTAAAAATAAAATGCATTCAGAGCACTTTTGAAATAGCACGTTGGCAGGTAAAAAAGTAATACACTTTAAAATGGGTTAAACTACATTTTTGGCACTCTCTCCCCCCACCAATATACTTGAAATCCAACAGATAATTAATTCCTTTTGGTCTTTCTCTTTTGTATATGAGTAGACAAGCAGAATATTAAAATTGTGATCCTCACACTATATGTCTTGATGGAGCAAGAACTGTTGCTTTTCGGATTACACGTGTGTGTGACTGTGCAACAGTCTACCAGTCCGTAAATGAAAGACTGTGCTTCCCCCTCAGCTATTGACAGGCAGCAGAAATCAAACAAAGAAGAAGAATTTGTGGCCCACTGGATCATGGAAACTCTGCCAGCGTAAAGCCTTATTTCTCAGTTAATCCTCTGCCTACCCAGCAGAGTGAAGCTACTAATAATGTGAAATATTTCTTATAAGGATATATATGCATAAGTACACACTTTTTTTTTTTTGTACATACTTAATGCTTTTATTTGTCTCAGTCATTGAAGTCCTAGGAAGAAAGATGGTAAAGAATAAACTGATTCCTCATGTCCAGCTTGCTCCCAGACCCTGAGTGTTCGTGCTTGGCTTTGGCTCTGCATACACTGAGTGCAAAGCCAGTAATGGTCCACGCTTTTCCTTTCCTTACAGCCAGAGACACCCGACAGAGAAAGTAAGATAAAGACAAAGGTGCCTATCAAGCTGATTTGATTTTATTGATTTTTAAACATCTAGAAAGAGACCTAAAAAGAAGTTATTGACTGGGTCTGAAATTATAGAGGAGGCAAGAGACAACCAACTGCAGGTACCTCCAGCTTCAGTTTTGCATTTGACTCCTCCTCTCTTCTACTGGAGTTAACTCCCCTCCTAAACAAAGCATTCATGGAGGCTTGAAAAATGGCTGAATCCTCCATCGCTCGGCCCCCTCCTAAAAAAAAAGTGAGACAGGTACCAGAAACTGAAATTACCCAGGGAGGGCAATACTTACTATAGACAGAAGAGATTTCAAAGACATAGAGAACACTTGGTTACCTATATCCCATAGCCAGGCAATGGGAATGGAGCACTTAACTCTCATTTTGCCTTTGAAATCTTACTCTGAGTCTCTAAAAGGAGGGTAAATAGTACAGACTGAGAATTATGAGGTGAAGTGTTTTGCTGTCTGACAGAACCTGACGTTTTTTCCGTCTGAGAAGTTAAGCTAGCAAAATCAATTAGTAAAGAGTAACCCTTTGACTTCACCTAGCTTCAAAGGTTAATTAAGAGACAGATTAAATTAGCTAAGTTACCCTCAACGGAAACTCCTAAGATCATACTATGGTGCTTGCTTCATCACAAAGCTAACAGTATCTTGCTGATATCAGGAGAACCTTAGAGATGCCTTTTTTTTTTTTTTTTTTAATGTCATCTTGTATATCCAGACCATGAGATTACCTGCAGACAAGCAATCCCTTTCAGGAGTTGATCTGCCAAGTAATTCCTGAAGTCGTCTTGGGGTCCAGCTGACATCCCTTCCACTAGAGGGCCATGAGACACCTAGGAATTGCCTAAGTAAAGTGATGGAAGGAGCTTTAAAGTCATCTTCCATAGCACTGCTCATCTGGCCATGTTAATATATTCCTCCTAGTCACTGGGATGGCAAGGCTGATTTGCTTATAAAGCAAAACTCAAGGAAAACAATCCCCCCAACAAACCAAGGATCTTAAATCTTAGTCTAGCAATATAACTATCAGTGTGCCAGCAGGCAGTAAGGCTTTAATAATATATAGTTTGAGTTTTTGAAGTGAGAAGACAGCAAGAATAATCCCATGTAGCATTACCATATAGCACTTTCAAAGCAGACTTGCTCAAAGAAGTCTTAACATGCACTACATAATCAAGAAACCCTACCTAAAGTCATTTCAGAAGTTCACTAATAGTTTTGATACTCTTTAAATAAATATCTTCCTTAGGCATAAACTTCCTTTCTCTGTCAGGGAGAAAGAGCTTCTACATATTGTAAAATTAAATTTATTCAACCTCTTCCCCCTTCTCTGATCAACCGACTTCACAAATTTTGTCCATATCTGCCCACATTGTTTCCCAGTGTAGCAGGACACTTTGTCCTAAGAAAAAATTAATCCACCATACCCCAAACTGAGAGAAACAAAACAAAACAAACAAAAAACCCAACGCTTCAAAAGTCTACCTGGACTACTGAAAAGGAGCTTCCAACTCCAGCTTAAAATAAACACAAACAAACAAATAAAAACCCTTAAAAAAATCCTGCATCTGTGGGGTAAATGCACTGTGGTGGTTCTACTATTAAGCTACCTAGTAGTTAGATACCTGTAGTATACTTATATGGCCAAGATGGAAGTATACTTTTTTTTTTTTAAATATTAGATTTCAACCTAAAGTTGGTCTCATGAGAGATGATGATCTGTATTTTTATTATGTATTTCTCAGCCTGCCACGTGAAATAAAAGCAGTGCCTTACTTGGCTGACTGGTTCCAGTTTACGCCAACCTCCCCACCAAAAGCTGGGAAACCAGGCCTGTGTTTTCTTCTAGCACACACTACCTTGACCTGGTAACAGGAAAGGTCAAAGCTCCCATTTACTATTTCAGCCACTATAAAATTTGGAAAATATGAAGGGATTCCAGCCAGTATATTTCTTTAATCTTAAATGTTTTACCAACATTTTTGGTCAGTTCCTTGGACTGAAAAAAGAACTTCACTGAACAGAGACCTGGAAACAACAGCATTAGAAAGGAACCTCTCAGGACTCCTTTTCATTTCAGGAAAACATCAGACAAATACTTTAAGAATCAACTTTTGGCTCAAAAAAGAAAATATTTGTGCTGAATAGTCAAAGGAGAAGCACAAAACTGCATTTCTATATACCTCTGGAAATCTCCCAAATCTCATGTTCACTATGTATGAACTATGATATGGCACTCAAATTAGCAGCTGTTATAAAACCATTAAAAGGGTGGCAAATGCTGGATTAATTTTGATTCTAGAAATCCTAGGTATCTTAGGAATCAATAGAAAGGCAAACAAGAAACCCCGACTCCACTGCAGAAGGAAGGCAGTGGATAATGAAACCAGGCTCAGGTCTTCCCATGTGACTGAAGACATCATGATCCAGCAGGTTGAAAAGCCTATTTTCCTACTGACTGCTGCTGTCTGTCAATAATGAAGGAAACTATGAACTGCGTCAGACTAGCAGATGTCTTTTTGCTTAACCAAATGTATTCATTTTCAATTGCAGATTCCATGAAAATCAAGAAGTGTAGGTATGGATCACTTTAAGTGTCTAGTTACCATGAAATCACTCTCTCCAGGGAGGCAAGTTACAACACACTGATTGCTTCAGTCCCCCCAATACCATTAAGCAGAACAGAAAAGAGCTTCATAATAGTTTGCAAGAAGTGAGACTAGAAGTGTATTTCATCCACACTGCTGGCTTTACAGACCACTTCTTGTACACCCACACATATGAATGACAGAGATGAGTTGATTTGTTTTGAACACATGTGAAAAGACATGCGCTCTCTTTTTTTTTTCTTGAGTTCTCAACTCAATCATCAGTATTTCTGATCTAGAAGTGATGTAGGACCTAAAAAATAGTAGCAAAACTTGGCTGTTCTCAAATCTGACTCATGCTGTTCAAGAAAAGGGATGTATATATTTTGTTAGCATATTTCTATCACTTGTGGATCACAACACATTTTTTTCAATTCATAGGCTAGTACAATTGACCCATGTCATCTTAATCATAGGAAAGAATAGTGAAAGGTCAGATTAACTAAATATTAACTATTTTGTACATGTACATAAATTGTACTTTCAAATCTATCCACCCTGCTTGTACCATTCATCAATTACAAAATACAAATATTCAAAGAGAAATTGAGTAATAATGATCTTTCTAAAAGTGAGCTTTTCCCTGACACCACAGACAGAACTATCTATGTGATAAAATGCATCTAATGGCATATAGAGAGTGGTCTGGGAGCAGTGGATAAAAAACACTGCATAACAAAGCTTTAACATGCCAACTTCACACTACTGGCCAAGCTCTTATGGCCTCTGTGTATGGAGCATAAATTGAAACATCTTGCCTGTTCTCCGGGTGAGATGGGCTCTGTTAGTGCTGAAGCTAGCTTGGTTAACAGGTTCAGGGAGAGTAGTTGGACAGCTTAAGGTCTGCCCCCCAAAAGGATCAATTCTCTGAATTTCTTACTGATATTTTTAGGCCTCAGACTTCCTTACTCAAACTGTGTGAAGGAGCCCTGCGAGAGCATCTGTCTGTGTTCTGGGAGGAGACACAGACGACTCGCATCTCACTCCATCAAAACACAAAGTTGTCCCAAATCATGACTAGATGAATTTCAGTCAGTTTTCCAATTTCGGATCCCAATGCATGATCTACATGCATGCAGTCAAAACACACACACACCCCATCTGTTTGGACATAGCCATTGGTGAATTTGTTTAGATGTGTGCCCCTAAAGGTGCAGATTTACTGATTCTACATCATTGTTAATTAAAAAGTGATTTCTAGATTAAACATTATAGGCATAGTTTTTGCTGCATCTTCAAGGCTCCACCATTCCCTCAGTCATCTACTATTCAGATTTATTTGATTTTCGCATTAAATGACTTAAGATAAAAAACAAATTGAATGTTTACCTTAATGTTCTGAGCATCTACATTAGCTCCAGCTTCTAAAAGAAGACTAATGACTGTAGTATTTCCTGCTAGCACAGCCCAGTGCAATGCCGTGTTTTTATGATACTTGTCTCCAAGATTAACAGAAACGTTGAATGTAAGTAGTAATCGGGTTGGATCCACACTAAAAAAAGAAAAGTCTTGTTAGATCTACAGAAGATCAACTAAAATACGTTCCAACTTGGTTAATGAGTTCAGCTTCTATAACAGACATTGATTAGGTACACTATTTAAAAGCAAAACGACTTTTTTGCTGATAAATAGTAACAGCTTGAACTTCAAAGACAATCTGCAAGGATCTTACCAAATTTAAAGGGAGTGTTAGCAAGACATACATTGCCCAAATCTATTAAAGCTCATTGAGATGTTTTTAAAACACATTTTGTATGCATTTTTATTTCCATACCTCTCAAAAATGTAACAGTACTAAAAAAAATGGGAAAGCATGTACATGATTAGGTTTGACAGATGACAATGAAAATACTAAACGTGTCACACCTCCACTCCACTCGCTGAAAGATGAAGACAAGAGGAATTGACAAGGTTGGCAACAGGAGCTATTTGCAAAAGGTAGCTTAGGCTTCTCTCAACAATCAACAGAGATACTACTGAGAGGGGCCTAATTAAGGCAAGTGTTCTTTGGGGAGGGGTCTTTTTTTCCCTCTAACCTCCAAGAGATTTAATTTGTAGATTGAAAGTTCATTTTGGTGAATACAACTGCATAGTATCCTTTCTCTTGAATGGATCAGAGATGAAGAAAGTGGAGTGGTAACTGAGAAGCACATAGACTAATTAAAACAAAACACACTCCAAATCAGAAAGTCATCAGTTCTGTGTCATTTGGTTAATATCCAAAATAATACAAAATGCAGTGAGTGTATTACCTATGTGTTCTGTAAGCTGCCCACATTAGCGGTGTCATTCCATTTTGATCCATCATATCTACATCCTAGAAAGAAAAAAAAAAAAGAAAAAAAAAAAAGGGTGAGATATGCACACTCAAGTTTCCATAGCTGTAAGATTTGCAATAAGCAGTATTTTATAAGACTAGCCAATGACCTGGAGAAAACATAGCAACTTTTAATATGCAATCTCTGCTTTCGTTTTTAAATATCATTTTATTAAGACCACCACTGCAAAAATATGATTATTTCAATCTATTTTGGAAACTAATAAACAGTCACAGGGTATAAGTCATTTCAATCTTAAATTCACCTTCAACATAAAAAGTATAAGTGGTATAATATTACACTCAAAAACAGGAGAAACATTTAAACAAAATGCTCTAATGTTTATTAAACTGCTTTATAAATTACCATAAACATTACAGCATCCCACAAGGTTACATGCAAGCTGTAGCTTTCTACTTGCAAAGCAGTTTTACTTCACACCTTAAAGGTGCTTACATATCTGGGTATTAACTTAATGGAAACCACAAGAGAGTTTTTAAGCGCAAGCAATAGCCATTAATAAAAACAACCCATTCAGAAAAAAAAAGCTTAACTTTGTGGTGACTTGGTAGTGACTAAACAGATGGCTAAACAAATAAATGTATTTCATTTTTATGCTTAACTGAACATAATCACTGAATGACAAAACATTATAATCCAGAGCAACCAATTAAGACGATCCTCTGAGACTGCCAGAAAGGAGAGCACTGACTACCTACAATATCTTTTCTGTTACAGATCCTTGGCTCAGTGACATGGAAGCTGGGAATTCCTAAACACATTGGGCAGATGAGATTCTCAAGTACATTTGGGCAACTTTTACAGACACAAAATTACTCTAAAATAAAGACCTGCATGTTTTTCTTAAGAGACAGTGGAGCTCTATCAACATCTCTTATGCTATTTCCCTCAGCTCTTACTAGAAAAATCGGAAGTTTTTCAGTAAAACCATTTGCTACTGAACCCTTTACAGAAACCAAGAAAGCAGATAACACTGCTTTCCACCTCCCCCCAGAACCTTCTGTCCTCTGCATTGTCTGCCAGATGCCCAGCACACTGGGATCGTCACTGACTGACTCAGGCAAAAATTTCCCAGAAAACACAGTTTAGTCTGCCTAATAGTTGTTTTAAAATGTTCCCCAGCTTGCAGAAGCATTTTTATTTCTGAGGCTTTATTCTGATGCTTCGAAAAACCAAAACAACCACCATCATCACCAAAAACAAAACAACAAAAACAAAACTGATTAGCTGTGCAGAAGAGATAGCCATTATTTTACTGCATTGCTTTATCAGAAGTGTTACATGGATTGGGACTAGAATCCATGTCTGTTTGACCCAGGCACATGTCCACACTAGATCTTTTTGAGCCTACTTAGACTGTGCAGGAGTTGAGACTCCCTTTTGCTTCCTCTTGCTAAGAAAGGAGTGAGAGGCATGGCCTAACCTCCCGTTCATTCGTCCTTCCAAGGTGTCACTAAGTCATGGTCCACACTGTGTACAACCCATTCTTAAGAACGTGAAATTTGTCAGCCGTTTCATGCTGACAAATCAAATCTACACACTGTACTAGGTGACACCGAGCTAAAACGGTTCACCCGTTGAACAGATCATCTTAACAGATTACCTCTAGAGCCTACAACTATGGCTCAAAACAAGTTCCAGTGCAGGCTAATGTAGCTCTTTCTTCAAGACAACTACAAGTCCCTAAGAAATTGAAGTTCACTTGCATACAATTTTACAGACATCATTTCTGAATAGCAGAAAAAAAGGGAAAAACTTCACTCAAAATTATATTATTCTGACAGAACAAAATCTCATCGTCCAAAGCAACAGGAGGGTACAATCCAAGAAAAAAAAAAAAAAGAAAAAAGAAAAAAGCTGCCTTCAACACCATACACATATCTGAAAACTGTTTGTGTTCTCTGGCTTGTACAAACAAGTGTTTTGGCATTAACTTCTTGGATGATTCTCAATGAGAAGTCAAACTGATAATTCTCAGGGACAGGTCGCTGCTGTTAGGACAATAATCTGAGCACCGCAAAAAACAAAAACCTCAGTAACAGGTGATGAAATGATCAAAAATTGCACTAACCTGCACATGTATTTCAAACGCAAGAATGCTCTGTACCAAAACAGGTCCATTTATAAGTTTGTTCTGAAATAGGACAATTCTGGTTCTAAAACAGAAGAACTTTGCATATCCAAAGACAAACCAGGCAGGATTTTGCATAAGAGCTTATGGAGAGGCAAAATCCAGGGGAGAAATTCTTCCTGCCTGGAAGGGAGCTGGTGACTATCTCGGGTTTAAGGAACCCACTGCCTGGAAGCAGTATGACTGGTGAGTTACTATGCTGAAGGGCAAGCAGAGATCCCAGCCGCGTTTAGTCTTATGACATATAACAAAAAATGGTCAAACACTAACATGTTACAACAGGGCCTCCTCAGAAGCACAAAAAACAGACCAAGAGATTACACTCAGAAAGGCATTAAGTTGCACAAAAAGGGCATCTTTGGAATCTTTTTATAGACTTCTGGCCTTTATACAGAGGTACCTCCTGCCCTTGTAGAAAATCCTGCTGTCTACAAGGAAAGGTGTCTTTCCCACACTCTTGTCTAGCAGAAGGGGATCTCGGACTCTCAAAGAGAGGACATCTAGAGGCAATTTTTAAGAGGAGGTAAGACTGAAAACATTTCCTAAGTTGAGAAAGACACGAGCTACATATTCACTGAATGTAAAGACCTGACATTTCTGAGCTCAGTTTTGGAATCGTGAGTGGCCAATGCTGAAAGCAGGTTGACAGACAACTTTTATCAAGCAGGGTAACACACACGACCCCCAAAACAAGCGAAAAATAGAAGCAATCTTGCTCTTTTGGAAGAAGAGCAGCTCTGAAGAAGCCAGTCCTTCAGCAGAAGACCATGTCAAGAGCGCTAAAGAAGAAACATGGCTTGTGTTACACTTCGGCAAGCACTGTCTGTACTGTAGACCCAGGGAATAAACAACACTTGATCCAGAGTCACACTCGAGCCTGAACCCTGAGGGAAGAACAAACCTCCATGCTGACAGAGAGCTAAGGACACTTGAGACCAAGGCTGCTTTCATCACACTGACCTCTTCCTAAACCCATACACTAGCTATGCCTAAGCCACAGCTCAGAATCAAGCCCACAGTAGCTGTGCACAGTAGCTAAAACATAAAATTGCAACTCAGAGAAAAATAATAAAATATATATATATATATATCCCGTACTCAATAGGGTAAGGGATAGTTCAGATCTTAAGAAATCAGAGATACTCATGATAAGTCTCAGAACATGATTTTATGCCAAGAGTGGCTTTGCAGTAGCTTATGACCTAAGCGACTGAGCTAAGATATGCCACTGAATTGAGAAAACACACATTGCCAGTCACCCAGTACCTGAAACACCATACTCGTGTCCTAACTTCTGGGGTGATGCACTTGCATATTCTATGTCCTGAATTGTCTTTGGAATTTTAAGTATTGAGCGGTGCCAACATAAAGCAGTTTACAAGTGCTTTCATGCCTTTTTGTAGTCTTGCTTTCCCTCTTTTTAGTATCTTTCTATCTATGCCTGGACAATGCTACAAATTCTGATATTTGCCGTGTTTATTCTGTCTATATTGTACGCTTGCCCCAGGCAACTTACTGGCACAACATGACCAAATTATGATATGGCCAAGTAATTAGCCTCTCAAGATTCAGTAGGAGATGAGTGCAATGAAATGCAATAGCTCTCAGCAACTGCTGCCTCTTGGCAGAGCAGTGCTTGCTGGCATGAGGGTGGGGGTTTACTTTCCAACTAAGACCAGAGGGAACTCTCACTGCAATGTACTCCAGATGCCAGAGGACTGGGCTCCAGCCTCAGATGGGAAGTTTTGCTGTTGCTGCTGCAACCCAGGAGCAGCAATACTGAAGCTGGGCTCCAATCCCGCCTGGAAAATGGACAAGAAACAATTAGGAGCAAGTTTAATTTGCAGTGAAACTAAATCCACCTTACACTTGTAACTTGGCTCTTTCTACAGCTGACTGAAGGCAGGAAGGTTGGCTCTCCTGTGAGCATACAGGTCTCCAGAGGATGGCAGGACCTGCACTAACAAGTCATAGAAGCCTATGTGGGTCTGCTTTGACATGTAATCAGTCTACCATAGTACTGTACGACGACACTAAATTATGTTTGGCAAACATAGTTTTTGGATTTAAGAGAAATTGGTCTCTGTTTAGGTAAAGACAGAGTTGATAAGAAGTAATAAGAAAAGCTCACATAAGCAAAGACATTTGAGTTTCCAAATCCAAAGCATAAAGGAGGTAAAGATCAGTGTAAACAGAGCAATCAATGATCTCACATATAGTTATTAGATGAGAATACAAAGTAGAATCATGCACTTTCCATAGATTCCAATGAAATTAAGCAGTTTCTGCAGCTGTATGTAGTATAGCTATAATACAGAAGTGAGTTCAGTGGTTTTTATTACAGCTCTATTACTATATTTTAACATCCAAATCAATATACAGTTTTAAAGTTCTGATTTTTGAAGTGCTTCAGAAAATATCTGGTAAAAATCAATTGAAACTTATGGCGTGGAAAGGATACTGATGTCATTAAACCCAAAATGTTATCAAATAAAATAATAATCTTTTTTAAGCTTATGATAAGGAGAGTTGTTTCCAGATTTTTTTTTTAAAAAAGAACAAAAAAACAAAACAAAAACAAAAACAAAAACCAAAAAAAACCCAACTTTGTACCTCTACGTACATACACATGTACACACAGCTTCTCTTGGAAGGAAGCACTATATGCTCAGATAGATAAATAGGACATTCTGTTTATAGACATCAGGGCATGCAAACATTTACAGGGAGATTTCATAAGCAAGACAGAGCAATTTAAAGGCCATTTATTCTTAAGCGCAATGCTGTACTTTAAAAAAGTTCCTACATGTGTAACAGCTGCAAGATTCTTCTGGTAACATAAAAACCTCTATCAAATTATACATAATTTATGAACAGAGTATAACACTTGTGCTTAGCTTGATCTCTACCATATACTAATTTGACAAACACTTCAGAGATACAAATTGATTAATGCATACGGCAACAGTTTATGTTTTAAAGAGAATGTCAGTGTAGATTTGCCAACAAATGTAGTATTTGTTACCTAAGATAGCAATAATTTTCAGCTAATGCTGACCAAAAGCACCAATAGTGCTTCATAGTGAAATTCTACAAGACTCACAGGATCATATTCTACTTTCTATTTGAAAGGAAAATTCAGACTACAGAATGGCGAAACCATTAACTAAACTGTAAAGAAAGGAGAGGGTTCTGATTTTTCTACAGGGTCTGCAAACATGACTGCCAAATTTTGCATTTTGGGCACATATGTGGGAGGCTACAACTTTCTCATAATGAAGAGCAAGCAGCAAAATAGTGAACAGTTTTGAGCGTACAAAATGAAGGATGGCAGACAATGAGAACAGTATCAGGTACACATGCTACATGTTTAATAGATGATACAAGATACAAGAGCCAAGCTAGAGAGCTTTTTTTTTTTTTTTTTAATCTAACCATACATGCAACTATAGCAATAAAAAGTTGTGGACTGATGTATAAAAGTAGTGATATCCTGTGACAATCCTTTGTCATTGGTTTTTTAACCATATCTAGCCTGATACTTCTATGAATACTACCAAAATATTTGCTATCATTTGTCATGACGCATTTAAAAGTTTACTTCATTAGAAATAAGGTATAGTAAAAGAAAAAATCAGCTAGAATTTCCACATACTATACTAAACATATATAGAAATTAAAGCCAAAGCACTCAGACCACTGTTCAAAGAGATTTAAAACAGATGGTACATGCATGAAAAATTGTAATCTGCAGTAAAATACACTGAATTATTTCTATGTTTACTCAGGTAATTTTTTTGCACTTTTTGCATCACGGGCGTAGTTTTAATTTTTTTTCCTATTCTAAGTAGCATGTATTTAAACACGGTATTGCTTAAAATTTACCTGTCCCTTTGCTATCAGGTAAGCAACAATCGAAGTATGTCCAAACTGGGCAGCCAAATGAATGCAGCTACATCCTTCTCCATCAATTAGCGACGGATCTGCCCCATATTTCATCAGCTGTACAACCATGGATAAGTGACCCTGTCTAAATGCAACAAAACACAAGAACAAACAACTGAATAACTATACACAGAAAAAAAAAAACTATTGAGATATTAATTGTTGAATAGGACAAATACATTTAACATATTTAGTTATACTAGTGGAGCTTCTGACCTTTGACTCATCCTTTGAAAACAGTGATTGTCATGATCTGCTTCTGCAAACTCATTCACACGAGCAGTTCTACTCAGCCAACGCATGCGACACATGCAGCTGCCTTAGGAGTGTCGTGGAGCAAGAGGCCAGCCAACAACAGCAAAAAACAAGTCATTGGCTCTTATATCCCATCTACTGTGATTTCTTCCATTCTTCAGGGGAAACCAGCTATTTTAAGAGATGGCAAGCTAGCTTATATGCTACTTTTTTGCGGGGCATATGGTTTATCTATTATTAAGAGCAGCACTGGCAGAGAATTGGGGAGGAGGGTGCACACTTGTCAGCACAGTTTCACATGAGGTGAGCAAGAAGACCTCGAGTCTACCAGAACCACCAGTGCTTCACAGGGCAACAGATTACAGCTATAAACACCGAGGAATTTAAACAAGCTTCCTACTATTAACACATTGAAAGTCATGTGTGACCTTAAATACCAAGAAATATGCGTGTTAAAACCTTTAAAGATAAGAGTCTAATGAGCAAGTTCTTTTCCTAGGCAAACTCATGGTTTTGACACATTAAAAGCTTCAAAAGCTTGTGTGCCAACTCTTATTAATATCCTTAATTGTGGACTCCAAAATGTAGAGTGATCCTTCCCTGCCTATTTCCTGTAGTAGTCTGGTGAAGTAGCCACTAAGAGGCCATCTTCTATTTTCCTAGTCATCATTCTTAGATCATCTATATTCTAAACCTGTTTTTTTCCCTTCTAGTTCATTTTTAGAAGTCCACATAGAATAGATCACTGTGAAGAAAACATCACATAAAACTCATCCCAAGTGACATCTTGCACAAGTTTTGTTCTACTCCAGAAAAGAGACAAAAATAAGACTAAACCAAAAGACTATTAACTCTAATTTCCCCTTTTTCTTCTTTTTTCAAAACACAGTAATCATCTTCATCTACTAGAAAAAGATAAAACTTAAACCATATGCTGAAAGCTCTCACATCTCAACACGCTACATTCACGTGGGTCTGGTTAGCAATGACTGCATTCATTCTTGGGTGAAGTATCTCCATAAAATAAAGAGAATTCCATTAAGGAAAAAAAAAAAGTAGGGATTCTGGTTAAAGAAAAACAATGCAGGAAAGGGAATCCCAAAAGAATTTTTCCCACCTTGTTGCCCAGTGAAGTGGGGTAGAATTTAAATCTCCTCCCAGCTGGTCAACAATAGCACCTTTTGATATATAGTATCTACAAAAAAAAGAAAAGTAAACATTATTCCTGATTGTCTTTGTAAAAAAATAAACACAGTAAGCATACGTTGGTGGTTATGCAAAGCAGACAACTATAAATCAAAACCTTTGCTTGCTTTAAAATAAATGTTCTCTATAAAAGGCCATGCACATATGTTGGGCTTCTTGTCTTTTCATGTGGGTTGGGAGAACAGGGGTGATTCCTAACAATTTACACAAGTCATCATTTCCCAGTTCAGTTCCAATGTAAACCAGAAAAGCTCTACTTATTAAGACAAATTGTACCACCACATAAGTATTTAATAAAACAAAAAATCCATTTGAAGATTTACATGATTTTACTAGGTTAAAGACAAGAAAATGGGAGAAGAAAATGCCACCAGAAGACTGGCATATTTAAAGAATTTTGGCTAAGACAAAACAAAATTTTATATAATTTAACTTGCAGCATATGTCAGGCAGTGGGATTTGCCAGCTGAAGTCACTCTTACAAATATTAATGTCTGTTATGCTTTTAGATGAGCATAAAGATTTTACATGCTTCTCAATCACAGTTAAGCAAGGGACAAAAATACTGTTACTTTAAAAATACTTTAAAGTGATGGACTAAAGCTATCTTTTTCCTCAAGAACATTTAAGCAGAGAAGTTGCCTGTAGGAACAAAGTAAATTGTCCATATTTAACCCCAAAATTCACATTCCTGTCTGTTGTGATTTTGCAAGCTGTTTTACACTCTTTATCTGGGACATTAAATTGGCAATACTACTCCTGCATTGAGAAAGAAACTGTATATCACACCTAAAAAAAAATGCACATTTTAAAGAAACAGATCTTCCCAAAACCTTAGAACGCTGATTCTTCATTCAGTGCTGTGCAAGACAGTGGAAAAAGAAACAGAAGTCATTGCTAACACACCTTTGGGACATATGATCTCGCTACAGATTCACAAGTGACTGCACATTTCTAGTACGTGTGCCGGTAGATCTTTGCTGTCATAGTACTTGTAAGGTGTGTATGAAACCTCCTCACCCACCTGCACTAATTGCCCTTTTAATCCTTGAGGCACCTCAATTGCCTCTTGGTATTTCAAGGCTGATGGCAAGCAAGGGCAACAAGCAACATCTGAAAAGCACATTACTGCTAGGTAGCTACCTTTTTCTTGGGTGCTTTTGCATTCACACCAAGCACAACTTCTAAACAGCCTACAAGTTAGAAACAAGACAGGAACAACATCTGAAAAATGTGTTGGCCAAAAATATGCACACTAAAAACCCCTACATGAAAATCCTTTCAGGTGGTTGCTTTATAGCTCCCAGACATGGAGATGCTACCCTGCAGTAGTTCCAGTGTCAGACAACTCTGGTATCATTAGGTCCTACTGCTAATACTGGCAGGACAGTCCGTTCAAATGGCCTCAGATACCAACAGAGGAAATTTCAGCATCTTTGCTTAAGTTGTTAAAATCAGATTTTTCAAAAAGAGCCACCAAAATTTTCCAAAAGGCTTGGTTCTGCCTAAGTAAAAAGATAATATTTGTTCTTTGCAGATAAGGGGCAAGATTATTTCATTTATTGCGAAGCAAAGCCTCAGCTAGCAAAGAACAAATGCAGAAACGACACTTAGAAGATGACTAAGTCAATCTTGGGAAAGAATTCTCAAGGGAACCTTGTCTAGAAAAAAGACAGAACAGAAAAATTCACAGTGAAAGCCTTGATCCATCTCACTGATGTGACCATTAAGCATATTTATCTTTATTCAAACACTAAGCCCCACAGAAACAGAGAGTCTATATTGACATTCTACAGAGCAGCAACATTGCTTAGGGGTTAGTACATCTTAAATGAAAAACTTGCAGTTTGGCAGCTATAGAAAAAAAGGTAACTCTCTCTGCCACATAGTATATTGATATGACAGCCTAGGATACCCTCCAGGGAACACAAAATAAGTTGAGATTTATCACTATTTCAGCTTCAGTACATTTAAATAGTGAGTTTTTTTCTTCAAAAGCAGTCTGAGAACTTAATCTTGTCTAAGTCGATCTAGACCACGGAGTCACTTCTGTTCTGGGTAAGGATGTTTCTGACAAAGGATCAGCCTCCTGATCCTACTCGCAGTGAGTCATCGAGGTGCCCCTGCTAGAAGATTCCAGACATGCAAATCCAATTTAACCAACTTGCACTCAAAAACAAGCTGATCTGGTAAGATGCTGCCCTGGGAAGCAAATCCTTCCAGTGATCTGCACATTCGAATCGTCTTTGCCAAGCAGCAGAAAGCTGCCCTTGCTGGTATTCAGGAGCTTTTTGGTTAAAGCACATGTATTCATTGTTGTTAAGAGGAAGGAAAGGAGAAGGGACCTTTGTCTGGAGAAACTTCCAGAAAATGGTACGGCAAAATGCAGTCAACCGAATAACTCTACAGAGAATGAGGCCAATTTTTGCCAAAAGCAAAATAATGGATCAGTTTCATGATGAAACTATGATATGTTACAGAGTTTTGATGCTCATTTCTGATCCTACAGAAAGGAGGAAGCCTTCTGCCCAAGGGCTTCCCTGCTCCAGACTGAATCACAAAGTCTCACAACAGACAGGATTAGTGAAAACAAGAGCAGTCTATTTCTGGGTCTGAGCCCTTCACGGACGCGGTGTGAAGCTGCCTCTCTGAGCTGGCCTTGTACAATCAGGACTCTGATCTGGCACCAGGAAGGCAGGCTCCTCGCACCCCGACTGTCTCTCAGGCGAAGCTCAGCGGCCTTAGGGAACTTAATGGAACTGCCCACTGTGTCCACAGTGGAGACACACTCCAAATTTGGGAGGAGATCTAACAAGGAGATCAAACAAGAAAAAGAACCATTTCTTTCTGATGAAACAGAAAAATTGAGTGTCCCAGAAAAAAGAAGACACTACATGACAAAAGCTAAGATAAATTGAGATCCCTAAAGACAGAGAAGCTTAGAGTAACAGCCCTCTCAGGAGAGAAGAATTTGAGATGCGGCCAAACACATAGGCAGTCCAAGGAGAGGAATCAGCACAGTACATTCCGGTAAGCGCAAGAAGCTGCACTGCAGTGGGCCACGCTGACAGAAATGCATCAAAAAGGGACCAGACTCCCGCCACACTGTTGAAGAAAAAGGAAGAGTTAAGCATACTGGGTTTATCAATATTTCAATTCAATTGCCAGTGGTATGTACTGAAAAGCATGAGAAAAAAAGACAAGGCTAGGACCCTTACAGTTAAACTCAATATAAAAGTGTCAAAAGTTTAAAAGTTTTCAACGCTCAAATGCAGGTGAAGGCATCTCTATTATATGATAAGGAACAAATGTGGAATTCAGACATGGATTTGAAAACAGACTTCCGTTTACCCAAATACAAAGGTGACTTTCAACCACCTCTATTTACAATGTAACACTGCAGCAGGCAGTTCTATTAGTAACAAGCTTGGGGGAAACAAAACTATACAACAGGACACAAAATACTCGCACACTGAACTACTTTTATCAGAAGTTAAGCTGCAATAGAAGACTAATAAGGAATTTAAAACTTGCTCTGATTTTACTCTTTGAATAAAGGCCCTAAACAGTTAACAAAAAAAGCTGCAAATTAAACACAGTGTTAGTGAAGCAGTGAAGTTTCAAAAACTAGACTGATTGAAAGCATGCAATTTGCCAAATCTCAAGAATCCTGCTGATTCAATAATATATTATTGGAGTTTAATCTCGTGCACTTAGTTTGTCATTTTGTTAATGTTAAAAGAAAAGGATCATATTCAATTCATCTTCATGATTTGCAAAATGGCAAATACTGAGAATTATCCTTTCCAGGATTTAAGTTCTTAGAGCTCTGAAAGATAATACACTTAAAAACATAACCTCATAAATATCATGTTCTGGATTTTATAAACAGAGAGGAAAAAAATCCATAGCTCCCACATTTAAAGAAATTTTTTATTACTTAAAAGGAGAGCTGCTATAGCACTGCCTATTGTAACAAGCCTGTTTTTTTAAATACAAAGAAGTTAAGTCAGGACTTGGAATGATAGCGACAAAAACATGCATTAAGTATGACATATCTTTGCACCATATTCATGTTACTTCTTCAAAAATTCACTTCACTACCGTTGTACATCAGATTTCCCTTCCCTCAAAGGGAAATTCACTATTACAATGAGTCTTCCTTAGCATAGATGAGTATACTGCACACAGCTCTTCCCTAGGTTTAGGTCATCTGAACAAAAAAAGTGTGAACTTGACTTCTGGGCATTTAACAGGTTTTAACTGTTTACTATGGCATCACATCATTAAATGGAGATTAGGTCTCCTATTTTCCCCCTCCCTGAATTTCAAGGCCAAAAAACTAAGATAATTAAGAGTAACACCATAAAGAAATAAAAACATGAAGGACTCAGCTAGTTAATGTTTAAGTGAAAAGGTAATACATACTTCACCAAATCTATCCTGTTGTTGATGGCAGCCCAATGGAGAAGCGTTACGTTCTCTTTGTCCGGTTGCCGTACATCATAACCTGCTTCTACCAACTCTCGACATCGTTCATATATTCCATACCTGGAAGAAGGAGATGAGATTTTTTCAAATATGTTAATTTGGATAGAAATAATAATAATAAAAAGAGGCAATCACAGTTATGAGCAAGATGCAGAGGCCTCAACAGAAGAGAAAGACAACAGAAATTTCATGTCATGGTGAAGGAAGTTTCTGTCATCAAAAATTGTATTAACCAACTCAAGATTTTGCAGATTTTTTCTCCACAGCAAACCATACAGCAGAACAAGACAAAACACAGATCAGCAGTATGCTTTGTGGAAACAAATCTTCTCTCTTTCCAGGAAGGCAGTTTGTTTTTCCACCTCTGTTCCTCCCTTCTTTCCCCTGAAGGCCAGAACCAGTTAGACAAATGACTGAGAAATAATTCCCTAAGCAATTCACAAGGTTATCACACCAGTTACAAACAATAATGGATCCCAAGCACTTCTTTTTGCCCTGATAACAAACCAATAGCAGTTTGCTAGATTTAAGTAGTTTTTCTATGAAACACCTTCAAAGTTATGCTTTCTTTAGTGACAAATTTCAACTTTTTCATTAAAAAGAACTATTCACAAGTGAACTATTCTTATTAAAAACAAAGTCTGTGTATAATTGTGAAGGTTGAGGCAATTCACGAAGCATAAACATTACATAAGCATCTAATGCAAGACCAACATTTAATAACACTTGCCTTCATGTTCACGCTGTTTCATCACCCATTTTCAGTGGCAATATAGGCAATGTGGAAAAGTATCAGGTTTGAATGTCTGTACCATCCACGGGGATATCGAGTCTTAAACAGGAAGCTGATGTGTGTGCAAAACTTGGCATAGTATCAGTGTTTGCAGACAAGAGTAAGCAAATACTCGTGCTTGGTTAAATCTTTGTTACAAAGTGCTCCTGAGACAGGCACGAGCAAGGGCACCGCCAGGAAGCCCTGGGGCAGCGTTTTCTGGTTTGTTTATAGGGCAGCGCCCGTCGCGCTGCAGGAAGCGGTCGTGGCCCTGGGGCTGCAGCGAGGGACTGAGCTGCAGCCGGTGGCAGGCGAGGAAACACCGTGCAGCCCGCGAGCGCCGCGGCCGCCAGCCCCCGCGGTGGCACAAAGCCTCCTGCACAGCCCTGCAACACGCCAGAAGAGCCTTTCCACAGGCAAAATGAACGCAGCCAGCTACACCGAGAACGCGTGCGTAGGGGATTTTTAATCCACTGCCAGCTTCTCCTGCTGGCAGCCTGTTGTTTAGCCTAGAACTGAAGTCAACCGATGGAAGAAGATGCAAGACGCCAGGTATAATTTAATAACGATCCATTTACTAAGCTGTCATAAGAAGGTTTATGGATTGAGATAGATGGGAATTGCTTTAAAAAAAATGGTTAAATGGAATTTGGTGATTTCCTCCTGTTCCTAGAAGCAGTTTGCTGTTGACAGCTCCAAAACAGTAACTCACTTCCCTCCTCGTCTGCCCTCCTCACCTCACCCAAAAAACACCCTCAGATCCATCTTTTGAAGCCTTGTCCCTGTGAATGATGGTGATTAGATATACACACACCTTTCACACACCTTTACCGAGTAACATGCAAAGCCTAAGACAGCTTTGTCTGCTACAGCAAAGCTGCAACTCCCTGGAGCCACCAAACAAACCTTGAACAACAGGAAGCCCAAGAAGCTGGGCAGCTGCAGGTATTTCAAAATACCTCAAACTACCTCGACAGCAGTGGTTATGCCACTACCCTTGATAAAACCACCACTCTGTGCAAATTTTGGAGATATGTCATTTTTAGCAGGGAAAATGAACATGTCCAGCCCAAAGAGCTGGTCCCAAAGCAAGCCCATCTGCACGGCGGCCTGTCCATTCGCTTGGATCAGAGCTGGAAGCAACTTTGTCACTTCGATCCGATTGGAATTACTCGCTGTATGCCCTGTTCTGCTTCCTACCAGCTACCCCCGAAGAGGGAGAAGTGGAAGCGGGAGGGGAAAAAAAAAACCTCTCAAACCTGTTTAAGACTTGTTTTTTTCCTGAGTAAAGCACAGCACATTTCGTGTCGTGCTATTTCACAAACCTCATCCATCTTGAAGGATCTCAGTGGATAAGAACAGTTTCCTTTGCAGTAATAAAATCTCAATGCCATGTATGAAGAATCAATCTTCAAAAATGCAAGAAAGCCTTGATTAATATCATTAATGCTTAACACAAATGTTCACAATGATTAAGACATTTTCAACAGGGCAGGAATTTGTTCAAGTTCACTACAAGCAGGCGCTGCTCCCTCACACCATTGCTCAGAGCTGAAAAGTCAGGAAGATGCACAAGAAAATGAAGACTTCCCATGCAGCTAGAAGTGAAGTACTGACAAAGTATCAGTAAACATCTAACGTTCCTCCACGGCAAGAGCAAAGGCAACATGATTCGATTCAGACTGTTACTTTGAAAATTATTTTCAAATGCATGTAAGCAAATGGCCCAGTTCCGCTCTCAAAATGTACAGGAAACTCTGTATGAGCTGAACAGAGTTTTGTTATAACTGAACACAGGATGCCAAGAGATTACATGTACATTTTAACATCTGCAGGTTGAACAACTAGTATTGCTACTAGTACTTTTAATTCCACATTATAAAGGATACTTTTAACAGGATTAATTATATTGATACAAATTAAATAAACCACACACTATCATTTTTACTCCACAAGTTTCTCCAAAATTAAAAGACAGAGGATACTCTTGGTATCAGTCAAAATATACCCAGTCCTGCTTCTGTGGGAGATCTGGAGACACTTATCCTGGAACGTAGGACAGGGAATAGAGAAATGCAGCTAAATGCTTTGCAACAAGAAGATCAGCTGAGCTGCTCATTTCCAAACAAAGCCTTAATTTGATCATAAAAGTCATTATTAGATTTGCAGCTCACCGTATGAGCATGTTAATTTAATAAGGGCCTAACCCACACATTACAAAGATTAAGCACATGAAGAGTGGAACAAGGTACGAAACCAAAGAACGAACAAGTTTTACTGGAAGCACGCACAGAGCTTGCAAACTCCCAGCCTCTCCTGCTACTGAAGACTAGAAAAAGAAAATACAGTATTTTAATAACATCGCTTATATCTCCGTAATCTATAAACTCAACATTTCAAGTAGAAGGAAAAGGTTTTTGGATGAAGCAGATCAGTTTGTTGGTTGGGATTCAGGTAAGAGATAAGATACACTTTTTTTCCCTTACCAATGGTGAAGGTCATCCTGCTTTGTAAAACATATTCATCAAATTCTTGTAAATATTTGAAGTGAAAGATGAATTTCCTTCTCCTCAAGGACATTCCAAGGGATATTACTAATCTAAGTTCATCATATTCCCTACTATCAGATACCTTTCCCTGTGATGTGATATAAAACTACAGCCTCACAGAGGAGAAGGTAAACAGACAATTGTGTTTTACGGCTGAATTTACAATATGCTACAATCACACAAAAACAGAAGTAGGTAACGAGAAGTTACTTGTGCCATATTTTCATATCTATAAGAAGTAGCCAATCTGACAGTATGCCAATATTTCCGCGTCTGGAATGCCCCTACTCAGGTATGGTTTGCAGCGTTACTACTGAAGTCTTTACAGCAACAACTATGGAACCAGCCAACATCTGCTCCAGGCAGTGTAATTTTTAACAATTTAAAAATCAAAAAGAGAAATGAAAGAAAGCGCATACGTCCTACATCTAAGCAGGGTCTGTGCCTAATACAAAGTTGCAGAGGGGTTTTCAGTGTGAGGAGTTAGCTTTTAGAAAGAAAATGATTCTGAGTACAACAAATATTTTAGCAATAAGCAAAACATAAGCATTCAGTTACTGCTAAAAGAAAAAAATAATAAAAGGTACCTTACAAAACAGCCTGTCATCTCAGGTGGCTGAAGAGAAGTCATTGTGGTGGTTGTCAATGGCAAACTGAAAAGTGGCGCCATGAAAGTGGTGCCATGATAACCCTTAGTGAAATCTTGTGTGTTAATATATACTACATGACTGTATGGGAAATAAACCTATATAATTAATCTCCATAAAAAAATAAACTAATTATTAGAATTATTTCAATTCTTACAGTCCTTTCGCAGCAGTAAATTCATTTTGACAGCAACCCTGAAGCATTAGTATTATAAACGATGAAGGAAACTACACAGAGAAGCATTCCTTCTAAGCTACAAATGAAGATACCATTCAAGAAACCCAACGAGGTCTGCAGATTCATTTTACCTTTTTACCTCTTAACCATCACCTACAGAACAGAAATACCAGTCCAAACTAGAGGAAAAACTGGTTGGATGGAAAAACTTCCAACCATCTGTCCAGCAGCCACCTATATTTACAAATTATAACAATTAGTCCCACATGTTTTATACAAAGCTTATAACAATAATGTGAAGTTCAGTTTTAAAGCTGCAAATGTAAACTTAAATTTTACATAAAATATTTATTTTACTGTTTTTCAACTACTACAAACACAGACAAACCTAACGTTCAACAAAAATAAACTTACTGTGTGGCTTTGACAATGTCCCAAGTGCTGTAGTCATCAATGTGGCTTTTCCGCCCAAGAGATTCACTATATCCATGGTTGTAATGGCTCTGAGGCTTGAGTTCCTAAAAAGGAAAAATTCACAATTAGGACACTGGATTTAACAATAGTGAAGGTTCTCAGGAGAAAAAAAAAAAAAAAGACATTATTAGTAAGTAAAACTAAGACAGTACCCAATTCAAGACACTATAATTAACATAAACCACCCCCAAATCTGAGGGTGGTCAGTCGCGTGGTTTTGCACCCTGTATACCAGGGAACACAGCGGCCTGTGCTGCATTTCAAACATCTTCCAGATGATACCATTTGCAGCAGCAGCTCTGCCAAATCCTGTGCTGTGCTCTTTTAGAGTGCTAGCCAAAGCAAACTGCAATATTCTATAAACCCAACACAAAATAACACAGCTAAGAAAAGCCATTGGCTGTACATTGTCTGAATCTCACCTACTCTGTTACTACAGACAAACTTTACAGCTCATCAGTTGGTGTAGTTGAATATTATCTGTAAAACCAGTAGTAGCTGGGAACAGTTAAAAACAATTATTGGAACCTACTTTTTATATTTGATTTACTCTTCAACTCCATGACCAGCCCCAGAGACAATCTATACATTTAACCAGCCTCTTGACACTAAAAGTAAAAAAGAGATTTTGACACTTTGCTGGAAATCCTCATCCCAGAAATAAACAGCATCACTATATAACTCCTTCACAGATATGCTCCTTGCATACTTCATTCTTTTGATGAAGGGCAACACGTGGCTTCCCTTTCTGATTTTTTACATTAAAATCCTAGCATTCATAGATCACTAGGGCAGCAATGTACCATTTTCCTTCACCAGCCAATGAACATGCCTTCTGAAATTAAAGATATTGGCTCAGGAATGCAAAAAATGAGTTTGTTACTTTCTATGGAATTATTCATAAATTACAAATATTAGTTAATTACCTTTGTTCATCAAACAAACATCAGAACTAGCACACTAGAGCAAAGAATGAAAGAAACCCTCTGCAGTTAATGCTCAGAAACATGCATTTCTATTGATTTTAGTGAAACATAATTTCTTTGTAGATAGCAGCTCATTCACTTTTTGCCAAAGCACATTCAAATGGACAGAAACTGTTTCCTTAATCTACACCTGAAAACATTTTCAAACACCTTATGAAATGTTTCAGCTTTCACTTAAAGACAGTGACTGACTTTTCTGCCATTTTACTATGTGGGTGCTTTTTTTAATTGGGTAAAAAAGGTAATCTGAGGAAGACAACTATGTTCCAACACACCTAACTGACAGAAGGGCTATCAGTCACAAGTCCCCACAATTTTCTTTCCTACAAGGCAAACTCGCCCCCTACTCCTACCTTCAAGTGACTAAGAGCTATATCATGTTAGCACTAAGGAGAAGAATTTCTTGCCAAAGTGAGTAGGCCCCCCATTTCTCACACTCTCTCATATGTGCAATTATTTCTGGAAAAGAAGCTGTCAGTCCCTAGGAGAAAATTCTGTAACTTCTGCATGGCTGAACCTTGGTCAGGCAGTCAAAACAGAACGCAGCTTCCAGTGACAACATGAACCAGGAACCTACCAACCCAGCCCACGTACAAACAAGTGAACATAGGTGTCTCCAGCTCCTCATCAGAATTTATTCAGCACAGATGTGTGGACACAGTGGATTTCCAACGTCTGCACAGAGTTAATCAAATCAGTTCATTTCTAGCCTAATAAAATTATACGCATTATGTTTTTTTTTTCAGAGAAAAAAGCCAAGAATCAATTCTATTTGGAAAGTACATTTTAAATAGCTAAATACCAGAACTCAACTTACTGAAATGTCAATTACTAAAGTCTAAAACATACTAGGCAGTAGCAATTCCAGATTAAACCATCAAGAACACAGTCTAACTGCAAATCATAGAATCATAGAATGCTTAAGAGACCTCTAGAGGTCATCTAGTCCAACCCCCCTGCACACCCCAAACTCTGCATCAATTTCAAAACCAAGTAACTTAAATCAATCGTGTTTGCATTTGTTCCATACAAGGTTCCCCATGGACATTTTAGAGTCTCCCAAAAACAGGGGAATGTTTCTTCATGGAATATTACATTTTTGTACTGATAAAGTGTATTAATATTAAATTTGATGGTAATAAAATCAAAATTTTATTTAATAGAAATTTCATATATTAGAAAACCTTTTCAGGAAATTCAATTTTTTAGACTTACAAAGGCTTACCAAGATTAAGAAAGAATGCAGAGAAAACCTTCAGAAACAAATGTAAAACCAGAAAAAAATAGTTCAAAAACAAAAACTCAATGTTAACATTTTCTAAACTGCCAGATATTTCACATATATGAAGAGGCCTTCCTCCAAATTAAAGTAAGATTTCAGCCTAAGAAGAGAATGTAAAGAAAAGCCGATTTTTAAACACAGAAAAGCTATTTTAACAATCTTTCCCCCCCCTACTTATAATATATATTTTAGGTAAGCAAGCCTATCTTAATCTTGTATTTCAATAGATAAAAACGTTTTTTTTTGTATGCTCTTTTATTTGATTTTCTATCATCCTACACCATAAGCTTGCACTTAAAATAATAACAACAAAAAAGTTTAAAGCTTGCACTTAATAATTTCAGCTTGCACTTAAAATAATAATGACAAAGTTTAAAGCATTATCCCTGTCTGGAACCTAATTGCTATGCCCAGATCTTTGTTTCAAATGGCAGGAGCTTGTGCATTTAACCCGCAGAGAGGAGGTGCAGCTCCTGAGGATGACCGAAGCCAGGCCTTTCCACACTACTTGCATTTGTCATCTGTAATGATAATAAACCTAACACATCAGAAACAGTTCACAGCAGTAAAAAACAGAAACTACTTTTGAAAGAGATGAGGAAAAGTTTCTTCCCCCCGCCCCAATCATTCCCATTCTCGTAAGTCTTTGAAATAGACCTAATCAGCACAAACCATTCCCTGACAAGCAGAACTATCACCTAACTCTCAGGAAAACCTACAGAGAAAAAAAGATCATACACAATGTGGAAGAAGGGCCAGATCACATGGAAACGATATAGGAAAATTGTCAAGGAATGCAGGGATGCAAGGAGGAAGGCAAAGGCCTGTTTGGAATTAGAGTTAGCGAGAGGTGTCAGGGACAACAGGAAGGGCTTCTACAAATTCATCAGCAGCAAGAGGAAGGCTAGGGAAAATGTTAGTCCCCTGCTGAATGGGAAGGGAGCCTTAGTGGCAGAGGGTGCAGTGGAGGCAGAGTTACTAAATGCCTTCTTTGTCTCAGTCTTCACTGTTAAGGCCAGTCCCCATAAACTGCTGAGCCCGGAGATGAAAGAACCAGGAGAGAGGAGAACTTTCTACTGGTTGAGGAGGAGTGGGTTAGGGATTATTTAGGCAAAGTGGAAATCTACGGGCCTGGATGGAATGCACACAAGAGTGCTGAGGGAACTGGCAGCGGTTCTTGCTCAGCCGCTCTCCATCATCTTC